GGGGCTCTTATAAAGCAGGGGGCCCCGTGGGATGCTGGGAGTTGGGGATTCGCCCGCGGCTGAGGAGGCGGTCCCTACCCTCGGAGCCGCGGGACGGTGGGAGAGACCATTATGGTAAATGGGGGGGATCCCGATGGATGAGAAGTTGGGAGAGACCATTGCGAGCTGTGACGTGGGCGGCCCGTCGGGCCTGGAGCTCGGAGCGCTGGCGGGTGACGCCCTTCGGGGAGGCGAGGGAGAACAGAACCTTTGGACCCACGGATGGAAGTGTCAGAAAGAAACCACTCCTTCCTTTTGAGTGAGGGCCCAGTCAGGTGATTTAGGGAGTTTCTTGGGAGTTCCAAGAAATTCCATTTGCGCAGAAGAGGACCCAAGGGAGATAGACCGTGCGTGATGGGGAGGGGGTGTTAAAAGGTAAGAAGAGGCTGAGGCGAGAGGATCGCTTGAGCCCAGGAGGAGTTCGTGACCAGCCTAGACAACATAGCAAGACTCCACCTCTTAAGAAAAAAAAAAGAGAGAGAAAAATAAATAAGTAAAAGATAAGAAGAGAGAGTATTCTGAAGCTGGGGATTAGAGTCCATATAAAAAGTAGGAAGAGGGTCTGTCAAAAAGACGCTTCTAGCAAACCCACGGGAGTATCTCATAAGCCCCTCGTTGGATCCTCCTCACCTTGGTTCTGATCTGTTCCACAGGAAAAGATCAAGGAGATTGGAGACCGTCAGCCAGAAAAGTAAGAGAAATTCTGAGCAGAAAGGTCTGGGGGATGCAGGGGTTGGGCTTTGCATCCAGTCCTGCGTTCACCCCATGCATGGCTTAGTGAACGTTTCTGGGCCTCCGTTTGACTCAACTTTTCCAGCTGTGAAATGGGGGTTGGTCTTGGTCCCCAAGTGAGACTCAGATCTTGGGGCTTGGACACTATGATGAGGGTTGGGTAGGGATCACAAATGCCTTCCTCCTTTCCCAGCCACCCGGAGGGGGTGCCTGAGGTGCCCCTGACTCCTGAGTCTGTGTCTGTGGAGCTGCGGCCACTCATGCTGTGGATGGCCAATACCACGGAGCTGCTGAGCTTTGTGCAGGAGAAGGTGCTGGAAATGGAAAAGGAGGCCGACCAGGAGGGTGAGCTCTGCTCCAGGCTCAGACCTATCCAAGCCCCCATCACTCCCTGCACCTGGGGACCTGGGCTCCTGGCTGCCAGCCTCTGGTTCTCCCTCTCACCCCCAGGCCTGTCCTCAGACCCACAGCTCTGCAATGACTTGGAATTGTGTGATGAGGCCATGGCCCTCCTGGATGAGGTCATCATGTGTACCTTCCAGCAGTCTGTCTACTACCTCACCAAGGTTGGCCTTGCCCCTGTTTAGATGACATGTATTGCTCTGATGTCACTTCCTATCTGACTCGAGATCTTCTGCTTCTCTGACACGACATCCTATCTTATCCTAGCACCTGGCTGTTCTAACATCACTTCTGACTTTGCAGTTGTCACCTCTTGACAGGCAGACCTCACTGCCTGATAATCTTACAACTACCCCTTTCTCAGGCTCCATTTTCTCTTTTCTTTCTTTTTGAGTTGGAGTCTCACTCTCTCACTCTGTGGAGTACAGTGGCGTGCTCACAGCTCATTGCAGCCTCGACTTGCTGGGCTCAGGCGATCCTCTTGCCTCAGCCTTTCAAGGAGTTGGTACTTGAGGCATAAGCCACTGTGCCTAGCACACTTTCACATTTTCTACCTCTGATCTTCAGTCAGTGATAAGGTTTTTATATATAGATAAACAGGCTGAGTGCAGTGGTTCGCTTGTAATCCCAGCACTTTGGGAGGCTGTGGCAGGAGGACTGCTTGGGCCCAGGAGTTTGAGAGCAGCCTGGGCAACATAGCAAGACCTCAGCTCTAGAAAAAATTAAGAAATTGGCCTGGTGTGGTGGTGCACACCTGTAGGCCCAGCTACATGTGAGGCTGAGGTGAAAGGATCGCCTGAGCCCAGGAGATCGAGGCTGCGGTGGCCATGATCGTGCCACTGCACTCTAGCCTGGGCAACAGAGTGAGACTCCTACTTAAAAAACAAACCAAAAAAAAGTACAGGACCGCCAGGTGCAGTGGCTCATATTGTAATCCCAGGACTTTGGGAGGCTGAGGCGAGAGGATTGCCTGAGCCTAGGGGTTTGAGACCAGACTGGGCAACTTGGCAAGACTTTGTCTATATAATAAATCAAGAAAAATTAGCCAGGCGTGGTAGTGCCCGCCCATAGTTCCATTTACTTGGAAGGCTGAGGTGGAAGGATCACCTGAGCCCAGCAAGTTGAGGCTGTGCTGGTCGTGCACTTGCCACTGCACTCTAGCATGGGCAATAGAGTGAGACTCTGACTTAAAAATAAATAAATAAAGCTGGGCTCAGTGGCTCAGCCTGTAATCCTGCGCTTTGGGAGGCTGAGGTGAGTGGATTGCCTGAGCCCGCAGGTTCGAGACCCGCCTGGGCAACTTGGCGAGACTTCATCTCTACAATAAATCAAAAATTATCCGGGCGTGGTAGCACGCACCTGTAGTTCCAGCTACTTGGAAGGCTGAGGCAGAAGGATTGCTGGAGCCCAGCAGGTTGAGGCTGCGGTGGCCGGGAGCGGTCACTGCACTCCAGTCTGGGCGACTGAGTGAGACTCCAACTAAAATTAATTAAATAAATAAATAAATAAATAAGAATAAAGGGTCTCTGTCATCAGGTCTCACTTCCTGTGTTGCTAACCTCACTTCCTGCAGCTCTTAGCTCACTCCCTTTTCCGAACCAGTATCTTTTTCTCCCGCAGGGCCTGCTTCTGCCTCAGGATCCCCCACACTGCCCTTGAACTTAATCCTGCTTCTTGGAATTCCTGGGGCTTCTGGCTGATGGTGGGCCTGATGCCCTATCTGTAAAATGAGACGGGATCTTTGGGGACAGATAGTCTTCCCGTTCCTCTGGCACCCTTGATTGTGAAGCCCTTTCCTCCAAGGCTTCACTTCCGGTCCATCCCTGCCAAGTGGAGCTTTCTTTTTCTGCTGTCTCTGACCTCATTTCCTGTCCTTGGCCTGATCTCACTTTCCACTGGCTGACTGCCACTTCGCTCCAACTTCCTGGTGCGCCATTCTTTTTCCTTCTTTCGGGAATTCTGGATAAATAATTCTTTGGCTGAAGGGGACCTCTTTGTCCAGTATCCTTTTCCTCCTTGAGCATCTGCTGAGAACCACAGGAGCCATAATGCATGATAGGTGGTGTCAGCATACCCAAGAATCTTATGGAAAGCCTTTTCTTTATTTTTTAGATTGGAAAATATGGTTTATTAGATTGGAAAATATGGTTTATTTATTTAGAAAGTAAATTAGAGAAAGAGAGAACGAGATTCACCTCCCCAAGGTAGGGGAGGGGACCAAAGCTAGGAAACATGGTGACCACACCCAGCTAATTTTTTGATTTATTGTAGAGGTGAGGTCTCGCCATGTTGCCCAGGCTGGTCTTGAACCCGTGGGCTCAGGCAATCCTCTCA